ATCAAAAGTTCATTTGATATATTATGATAATCAAAGGGCTGCATGCTCTGTGGTATTTTCTGATCTTTCCTGTATAAGTTTATTTTTATATACTATAATTCATCTTACGCAGCGACTGCGTTTAGATTTTTTTCTATAGCAGTTTGAGATTGATACATATGGAATTTTGCATGCCTAGAGTTACATCATAAAATCATTTTTCATTTTTTTATGACAGCCACACTTTATCCTTGCATATCGTGGCTACTTCCTTAAAAAAAGACACTTCAAAAAAATGTTGCCTCGACTATGATTTGAACCTTAGGCCTCTCACACCCTAAACGAGCGCGCTACCTCTGCACCACGGTGAAGTAATACGTATGTAGCTATAATAAAAACAAATACATTATAATTCTAAAATTGATAATTTCCATTTCGTGTTTGTAATCCTTATTAATTTTAAGGTATTTTGTTCACGATAAACCTGTTGTTAAACACTGATGAAAATAATTTAGCGAAAATCTTCTCGCCAAAACAGTCCGACATGTATATATTCCACTACTCGCCAGTCAGATTTATTTGTGTACTACGCTCTGGAGTATTCGGTAATCGACATTGCTAAAAATAGCATTTTCATTGATTAAGCTTTACGGAAATAGTCGAACATTTTTCATTGGGTAAAAGAGATATTCATCCGCGAAATTTGTGATTGCAACCTCATATTTCTACTAACTAATCTAAACTTTTAATGCACTGTAATTCGTTAAATGCCTACATTAAAAATTATTCTTTCTTTTTAATTGCTATTTTTTAAGCAGTTTTGAGTGAAAGCCAATTATGATGAAGATGACATGACCTTAGTTTCAAGTCAATACAAGATCAAGTCAAAACCTTCATTGGATTTGAAAATTGGTATTGCAGGCAAAACTTTCTTATTTAAAAAGGGCCATAATTCTGTCAAAATCCGAAGTAACATTGGGTAGAGAACTACATTTGCCATGTGTTACCTTAAATTAAGTCGACTTAACATAACGATCAGTATAAGGTATATAAAGATTCAAAATTACACTAAGAAGTATAGAAACAAAATGCACATATACACTATAAATACAATGTATATCAAGTTAAACAACGCGTATAAGATGTGATATTTTAACCAAAAAATATTGCATAAAAAAAGCTTTTGACAGATCACTTCACATTTTTATTGCACTGGCTTGGTGGGAAATTATTACCGTTCAAAGTTCAGAAAACATTTTAGGTATCATGACGGGAAACATGTGCAGTACTTCGAGGGTGAACTTGTATTGTTTAAATAAGAGCAGTATTAAGTATTGTTTCTGTTGTATATAAGGAGAAAGGGAAGAATTTTCGCTAGTTTCGTTTTTGTGATTCAACTTCTTAAGAAAGATTAACAATACCAAATTGTGATACGCAGTATCAATATATATTTTCCTGTAACCACTCAAGTACGTAATGCTTTTATAAGTGATCTTAAGACAAAAACTGCATGCACTGAAATACTCCAATACTCAAACACTTTAGATACATGCAGATTTAAATAAATTTTCATTTTATTTTAGACGGTTTCTGTTAGCTAACCTGAAGACTAACACGAATTCACTAATGTTGCAAGTAACACATTTAAGTCTTTCACGTCAACTCCCAACCCCACATCAACGTTCACATTTGATAGATAAATTCTAATATATATATATGTTATTTTGGTTTTGGAGTGATATATGTGGATATATTACCTGCTAAGATTTTATATCACCCGAGCCGTTAGGCGGGTGTGATATTTTATCTTGGCAGATAATATATACACATATATCACTCCAAAACCAAAATAATAATTTTATTAACCTTCCCCTGCCGAGTTTAGACGATTTTTTAAAAATTCATAGCTGTTTCAAATGAACGTCGAACTAAGATTCCCTTTAGGGTACCCCTTCATCACAACATGACGTCACATAAATACATGACGTATTTTTCCGTACCTAACGAATATAAACAAGAGAAAAGGAGTAGTCTATTTAACCCACTTTTTTGAAATTAATATCAAACTTTCACTAGGTCATATTTGTTTTCAATACTGATGAGAATATGTATCGTTACTCTACTTTGGTTTGTTTGTTTGTTTGTTTCATTTTACGCCTTTTTCAACAGTATTTCAGTCATATAGGCGGGTAGTTTCCTAACCATCGTTCCTGGAGAGTTACACCAGTACTAGACAACCTTCCTCCGCGCTAAACTACCAAAGCATCTCCCGGGGATCGAACCCACGCCAGAGAGATTAGAAGTCATCGACTCTAACCCCTCGACCACGGAGGCGGTTTTATTTATTATTTGACAGTTAAAAAGTGCTTGTAAATCGGAATTTTCACCCCGTAAAATCGAACCGTACGCGCATCACCTCAGCGCGTGTTGTTTTACAACGTGGGGTACACAACGGGTAAATTTAGTGTGTATATTACCCGTCTGGCTCGGTAATATCAATTTCTTTCGGGTGATCAATATCCAATCAAAAAGGCGGAAAAATCTGGAAGGGTGATACTATATAGAGGATATTTGTTTGTTTGTGTGTAAGATGAAATTTTATTTCATCGAGTGGGCTTTAAAAACAGTATTCTCACGAGTGGCGTAACTAGGTAGGGAATATACATATTACCACAACCCTTAATGTAAAACACGTAGTATCAAGTTCCGAAAATGAAAAAAAAACATACAAAACTACTATTAATGCAAGAAAAAAAAGAAAAGAAAATCAGACTTTTGTTATGAAGCACTATACAATAGACATTCATGTAATTGTCTAGAAAAAAATATTTGAAACCAATCAATTCTTATCAATATTAGTCATAAGTTTGGTTACATACAATGCTAAACTTTTTAATGTAGGATGATGTTCGGTTTTCATCAAGTATGAGAATTTAACTGGTTCTAGTCTTCCCTTATACCAATTAAACAGACATAGTTGTCTTATACTATCAAACTTGGGGCAAATAAAAAAGGCATGATATTCATTTTCAATAACTAAACGGTTACTCTTAATAAAACAGTATGGACATATTCTACATGTATATGATCTCTCAATACCATAATGGCGCCCAATTTCTATGTTTAATCTATGATTTGAACATCTGAAACGCGCAAGTGATTTCCTAAAAAGAAATGGCAGTTCCATAGTTAAATATTGTTCAACATTCAATAAAGATTTAAATGTTGTATATGTATCACATCTAGTAGAGGAATGAATGTCGTCAGACCAATTTTGTTCCAAACAGTCAGCAATACGTTGTTTAAAATATTAAAATCTCCCATATCTTGCCTTATCCAAACATAACCATATCCGTATTTGTAGTGTATAACTAGGGTTAATACCCAGTACAAAAAAGAAAGAGTTCCAGACACGCTGCCTTCTTATAATTATGCTTTCGAAATCATTTAAATGTCTGTGAGAGATTTTGTTATATAGGAGATTCTCAGTTATGAACGGACGTTTTTTTTTAAATGAAAGTAACCGTTAGATAAGGACCAATTTTGATCAAAATTTAACGATTAATCAGTTTTCAACGATTTTTCTATCAAAATCCAATGTTGAATTTCTGGCTAGGTTAATTCCGTTGAAAAATGACCCGGGTCAGTTCACTTCGTCTGGGACTAATTTGCAACGGGGTCAAAATAAATGTTACACAGGATCTGTGCAAAACTATGGCCAAAAAAAATAAGGTAATTAAACGGTCCAAAATACTAGTATGTTATCTTAAATCAAATTGAAATGTATCAAAATGAATAAGCCCATACAGCTGCTTTGACATCATACTTTAATTTTTACCAATATTACAAATACATCCAGGAATCGGTTTACTTTGAGAATGACAACCAAAGTACCGCTTTAAAGTCACCTTTGCTATTCATTTAAAACGTTTTTGCTTTAATGCAACATCCCTCAAGAATGAATTCATGTTAGTTTCTTGAAGATTTTGAAAATGCATTTTAAAAGAATTATATTGTGAACTAACCAAAAGGAAGCAACTGACGCATTATCAATGGCACTTGAGACCCGCGTTAATTACCCAAGAGGTTACAATTTGCAAAAATAACCCTTACTGCGTTAGTAACGAAGTAGAAATATTGTTATAAAAACAGAAAAATTAGTATTTTATCGCACAAAACATGTAAATTATTACTTAAATCTTTAATCTTTTTACTTTTTCGAACATATTAGCACATTTTTCTTTTTATTTTATTGACACCCTTTGGCTCATCTGGAGGCATGCTTCTACCTTAGAAACTTGTCAAACCACAAGTCATTTAGATACAATATGACTGAGGTAACTTTTATGAGGTAACCAGCTCACTTAGGTTTCACATTTACTAATGTGACGTTACCTTAAAATTGTCTGTCACATTTAATTTTCAGTGTATTATGGTTGGGCAAATACTTTAGCTTTACCGGCTGTCAAAATCAAGAATAAAATACATGTATAATCGTTATTGTGAGACAAACGACTTGGTTGCCTGTAATATTCTTTTAATACACTAACCAAGTGACCTTGAAAAACCAAGACTAAATGAGCTTTAAATGTCTCGGTGACCGTATGCGTCCATTCATTTCTGCCAAAACATATTATGTTCATTTATTTACTGTGAAGGTGTCGGTTTTAGAAATGCACAATTTTGTGTTACTTTTTGCAAAATTCCAGCATTATTTGCACATTCCTGGATATACATGGAGATAAATTGCGGTCTGGCATTTATTACAACAGTAAAAAAATAATAAGTTAATACGGAACTGGCCCGGAGTCGCTCATTGAATGGTTTCCAAAAGTATTCACATTTATTTTACAACAGATGACAATAAAGATGGAGCATATTCCTGGGCAAATGTCAGCCATGTTTTCAATGTTTGATCACCTATTTACCCCTTTAAACCAATTTTACAAATGCCATCAGCAACAATCGTTCAAAGAAAAATATGACTCAACATAATTGTTAAACATATACAAAAACAACTATTTTAAAGTAGAAAACTTTATTTTATTGAAAATTTCTTGGTATATTATCAAATATAACAACATTTAATAACTCTCACATCAAAATTTCATTCATGCTTTATGATGCCTATCAAAACACTCAAAATAAATCTATTTATTCTCTGAATAAACCCATACAGTCAGTCTCAATCTATCTATTCAACAATCAATAATTGATCTCACTCACTTAACGAGTACAAAAACCAATAATAACTAGCTACAATACAACCTATACTGACTGAGGAACTCAAATTCAGCATTGATAGCAAAATTAATTGGACAACAACCAAATAAAACATAATATAAACAACAAAATAACCATACTGCAGTCTTTGTCAAAATATAAATAAAGCTACTCCAAAAAAATATGTAACACTTTGTCACTATAAAAAGGAAAGAATTTTAAATATTAAAAAAATAGATGTTTTTTACCATCCAGTCTGTTCAAATGTTCAAAACTGTTCGTATTTCTGTATATTATTAAAGCAGTATTTCTGATTCAAGAAAAAAAAATATGCCATTCAAAACAAAGGTTAAGTGAAACAGCTTCTGTCTACAAGATAAATTCAGACAAAATTATAAAATTTTGACAGACAACCAATCATTTTCTCATATACACACACATTGTATCACATTCACAATCACTCTACATTTATATCACATTAGTGCAAAAAGGTCAGAGTATCAGTAGGCTTTTTATTAAACATATTTTCATATTATAAAATCCCATTTCTTCCAAAAGAAAATCAATGGTATATATATTTAGATAACGAAAGTCATTTTTTAGCATGATCTCTAAAGTTTACATTTACGCAAACAGCTTTTCTTTGTATTTATTCATTTTTTGTTTGATGTAAGCAGCCCTACACTTTGGATTATTATTTATTATTTAACTGTTTAGTTAGGACTGGGTGGAGTGATACATATTAAATATACAACAATGGTTTACACATTCAATAATATAACTTGGAATGAAAGTTGTGCAATGCTTCCAATATTTGACAAGGAAGACTGTTGTCAAAAGTTGCATCTAGAATGTATTTACTACAGCTACAAAAATATAAATCTGTAAAAATCAGCACATTTTATCACATCTTATACAGTCTTAGCATTAAAACTGCCTATATCCATAAATATGTAAAGAATATTTGTTCTATAATCATATTCAGATTTTATCATACATATATATCTTATTATTAATAAATGAGCACTATTCAATTAATTAAGACCATATTCTTATAAATTTTTTTTCCACAAATATAAATTTGAATAAAAATTTCTCAAGTTCTTGTTGTTTGTATAGCAGTCATAGTTATACAATTCACATCTCAAACCTGAGACAATACAAACATGTATTGAACACTATTTTATGAATGTCTTTTATTCAATTTTATGGCAATCAAAACAGAAAATGAACACCTACTTTGTAATGTCTTGTCATTTGAATCTTATTTTTAAAAAAAGCTTATTCTTTGTAAATATCTAATTATAAGAATCAAATCTAAACAACTTTTACAGAATCAAATTTTGTTTGTTTTTGTTTTTTTTTTAAATAGACAAGTTTCTTTACATAAATTTCACATATCAATAAAGTTTATATACCAATATATTTTATATAGCAACATAATTCACTTTATTTTATAGAGAGCATAATAATAAAATAATCAGCTGTAGTTTTAGTGAGATTGTTCAGCATTTTCAATATCACATAACTTTTTAAAAAAGTAAATCCACAAAGATTATGTAAGAGATCCACTGTTTCACTGATGATTCTGTTGTCACAACTGTAAAAGAAGAGGAGAAAATAAATATGTTAATATATTTAAAGTTCATCTTTTATGTTATAATGAATTTTACCTAAACACTAACTTTCATCTTGCATCTTGCTTAATTTGTGTATTGGGCTTTTTCAACGTCCAGTTTTGAACAGTCCTAGTTTCAGTGATTTCAAAATTAAACTGCTTTACCATGCAGAATTATGCTTACAATATATGGATGTGTATATCTTTAAATCTAGACAAAACCATTCATCATTCTGTATGGATTTCTTTGTTTGTATGTTTTATTTAGATTTACAGCGCACCAATACAATTTTGATCATATGGTTCCAATACAGGAAAGATGGTTTTGGCTAACATTGGGTGTTACAAACTTAAAGAACCACCAGGGTTCAAAATTACCACTACTGCTGGAGCTAAGAGATGCATAGACTCCAGTAATTCAAACCAATTTAGTCACCTCTTAAGATTATGCAGGGTTAAACGGTGGCTACAATTCTGATGCCTCAAACAATACAGGCAAACCCTCAGCAACAAGAGACATTTTTACGGAAGATTTCAAAATAAATACTGACTGAACAGTGCAGACCATGATTGGATGGTATGCAGGTGCTGCATGATCTTGGTCACATTAGTACATTGAGCTTAAGCTGGTAGAATGAAGCACTCAATAGAATATTGCCTGATCAACTTACACAAATACTTCAGGAATATACAAATATCTCAAATTACCTTTCATATCTATAAATGTCACTTTGACCTTGTAAATAACTGTTTCAGTCATATTTTCATACATAGACACGAAATGTACAGTCTATATTTACAAGATAGGTATGTTGTATTAGTTCTGTAACAGCAATATAGATGTAGTTTACTATAAGATTGCCCCTAACCAAACATGTTGCCCCTAAACAAACGAACATAAAGGCTTCAGAAGCCCCAGAGTGGTTTGACATGATGACTCAATCAATTAACTCTATATGGATTCAAATCCTGACAGGGACTTTTGAGTTGTTCATATAAGTATACTATAATGCTGACTTAACCTCTACTGCAATAAATATCTTAAATGGACTTGTCCATCCAGAAATCTGGGCAATACCATTTATAACTTTTAGCAAAAATTTCAAAATAAGTACTATCTGAAAAGCCAACAATGCAGAACATGAGTTAAAGTATGTGATTCTACACACCTAATCCTACCAGTTAATCTAAAATTGACACATAGGACCTTTACAGAATGTAAAAAGCAGGCCACAGCATGAAATTTTTACTAGGTATATCAGTGTTGCCATGACCAACAAAATGCCATACCTTTAAACAAGAGGATATGATGCTGAGCTGGCAATTCCACATTGGTTGTCCTTGTTTCTTGACATCTTAATATAGCCCTCATCTCCCCATGATGTTCCCCAACTGTTTTTAACCAACCAGTAGTCACTTCCAGATTCTGTTCCATAACCTACGGCCAACACTCCATGATCTAGCTGAGAGCTACTACACTCTGACTCATCATAAACACCTGTAAATTATGCCAGCATTTCAAATGAGTTCAGTGTCAAGATATCTATTTAATATCAACTTCGAAACAAAACAAGCCTTTATTGACTTGTTAACTAAAATTAATAACTTCCAAATAAGATTGCTAGACAACTCATCAGAACTGGTATAATATACAGACCCCATTGTCAGTGCATAAACCTATATTCCTAGGTTGAGTGAAAGACACCTTGACTGCTATATTACTGATGACGTCCTCATATAATACAAAGAATATACAATTATAAAAACACCTGCACCATGCCCCAAACATTCTTGTACACATATGATCATCAAATTAAAATAATCATATAACTAGATTTTTCTTAAGTGAGTTACTTCCAAACTTGCCTACTTGAATCAATTGAGTGAAGAAAAAAAAGACATAAGAAACATAACTTCCTTGTGAGAAATACACAACTTCAGACAGTTAATACTAGTCAATTGGATGATCCCTTGTTCTAAATGTTTAAGAGTAATTGTAACCTTGCTCTATCACTCACTGACCTCAAATCAAAAAGGGGCCATCTGTAAGTCATTTCTCACCTTAGGACTGTAGACAAATGTAAGCAAAAGCCTTTGGTGGCTTATGCCAGAATAACCTTGACTTTTGACCCACTGCCCTCAAAAATCAATAGGGGTCTTCTACAAACCATGGGCAATGTTCTTACCAAGTTACATAAACCATTGCTTATTCCTTTTCAAGTTATTGATGAGACAAGGTAAAGTTGACAAAATGTGAGATACAAATGAATTGATGGACAGATAGACATATGGATAAAATCACAGTATACTCCCACTTCTTAAGTCAGTGCATAAAGATCACAAATAGCTGAAATAGGGGGAATAAAAATCGCATGAAACATCTCATACCTCCTGAATAACTTTGGAATGAAGGATGACTGGCATCTATGGCGACTGAAACTGGTCCAACAGTTGCAATAGCTGACTGAAGGGCTTGTTCATCTCCCTGGGTGACATCAACATAACCTGTCACTTCAGCTTTTTCCAATGACTTTGAAAAATTGCACTTTCTTTCTTCCTGAAAAAGACAAATGAAATCAAATGATCTTAAAAAATCAGAGAAGACAAGATTTAAAAAGTTTGAAAAACTAGCTTATAGTCACAAATTCACAATGCTTTAATTCAGGATAGACTTGAAATTTCATTTCATTACCAACATTCCAGAATTAATCACTATTTTAAGAGAAAACATAACTAACTGATACTTGACATCACTTTTCATATCATAAATCTTGTATTTTTTAATTTCAATTGAGACCAACCATTCTGTCAATTAAAACCATTTTCTCCTAGTTGAACATTAGTTTCACTCATAACTGAACAGGTTAAAGTATTCATAAGTTTCCCAAATAAAACTTATTATTATTAAATACTTAATCAACTATACAACTAAAAAAAACAAACCTGAGCAACATATGGGTAGTCCTGTTCACTTTCAATACCTCCGGCAGATTTAATATACTCAAAAGCTTGATCCATTAGACCACCATTGCATCCCTGGTTCCCGTATGAACCAGAACAGTCCACAAGTTGCTGCTCACTAAGAGATATCAATTTACCTTTCTTAGCAAAAGTCTGTCCTTCAAGGGAACCAGTCTAAAATAACAGAAAAAAAGTTAAACATTAAAGACAGACAAACATTTGCAATGAGGGACTTTAGTGAATAACCTCCCCTGAGTACTCCTTATAAATAGATAGGTCCTAAGCTATTGGATTACTCGGACTTTATCGACTATTTCTTTGTAGCAAACTAAATTAATTAGGGCTAACTATGATCATTTGTAATATTCAGATTAAATAATGCAATAAGATGTAGAATCTGTTAACATAAATGAAACATTTTTTTCTTAAGGTTTACATATTTGTTGATGCATGTGGAAATAATTAATTAAGACATCAACCTGTCTTACATAAAACTCAACGATAAAAGCAAAGGATTCCAAATATTTGGACCCACTTACATTTTGGTTAATCTCAGTTTATATCAAGGGAAGATAATCCACTACTGTCCCTCATTGTATTACTATCCCTTCACCTATTTATTTTATGTACTGGTAATGGATCTGGCCAGCTTTGAATTTAGGAAAAATCAATTCAAATTCTAAGGATTTCAATACGCCACTGACTTACGGGGCTAACTGAAAATTTGATAACTATGACCCAATTTGCAAGAGGTGCAAACACGGAAGCATATACATGACATTATTCCAGGTGTCACATGATTGGCTTCAAAAGAGGAATTTTGGACACCACTATGTCCAGTTGAAATTGTGGTCCCATGCAAATGTGACAAAATCTACCACAAACACCTTAGATGTGTGACAGAACTTTTACTCCCAAAATGTTATATTTTTCTTAAAGTATATTAAAGGTTGGGAAAATGGACAAAATTATGCATGCCAGTTTATGTTTCCCACAACTAAGTCACCACAAGTCACTACTTGAGGTGGGGTTCTCTATGAAAATGCTTGAATGTCAGCTGCTCTGTGGACATCTCTTAACTGTACTTGCACTCTTGAATGAAATCAGTTTAAAGTAACAGTTGATACCTCTAAACTGAATGGAATATATGTTTCTGTACTGAATGATATATACTTACAGTACTGAATGACCAACAAGAGCCACACTGTCCTTGGTTTTTGACCTCAGTAACATATCCTTTCTCCCTCCAGTCAACCTTCTCTGGTAGAAGAATGTTGGACGGGGTCAGGTAAGTTGATGGTTTGGTTATAGATCCATTTACTGCTTTGATGTGCCCTGTATACAACTTCAGGAACTCTCTATGAGTCTGTAAATGGACACAAAAGTTCAAATTAAGTCTTATATTAAGTACACATGTTTTCCTAAATTTTGCTGGCAAGCAGTCTAAATGTTAAGAGTTTAGTTTCAAAGTTACTTTTAAGTTACTGTGTAAAGGAAAAATTTTTAACCTGCCACATTATTGAATCATAAACACATCTTCATTCATGACTTAATCATAAACACATCTTCATTCATGACTTAATCATAAACACATAGATCTTCATTCATGATTTAATCATCAACACATCTTCATTCATGACTTAATCATAAACACAGCTTATTTCATGACTTAATCATAAACACAGCTTCAGTCATTACTTAATCATAAACACATCTTCAATCATGACTAAATCATTACCAAAGCTTCAGTTATGACTAAATCATAAAAAGAATATTCAATTATCACCAAGCTATAAACAAATCTGCATTCATAATTATATCTAAATCAATTTTCTTCATAACTGAACAAATCTTCATTTATGAATAAATCATAAACAAATCTTTATCTATGACTGAGTTATAAACAAATCTTTATTATGTTTAGATGAGAAGATTTGTGATGTTACATAAACAAGAACGTGTTTGTTAAACACAAATGCCCCTGGCTCCGATTCTTGTCAGTAGCAATATTTCAAAAAATGTTTACCCATTCACTCAGTTATGGACAGAAACATTGCCAAAAATTGTAAACACAAGTTATAAAGCTTGACAGAGCCATGGCATTTTGTAATTGTGAAATATATAAGTTGCCAATTTCATTGTTTGGCCCTTTTTTGAAGTGAAAAAATTTTTCAACTTTTTTCAAATATTATAATTAAAAAATCTTTTCCCTTAAAGGCCCCAAATTGGGCCCCCTTGGGCCCCCAATAAACCACCTATGGGAATAATCATGCAATTTTATTTTTCCCTTTAAAAATATAAAATCCCACCTTTTAAATTAAAAAAAAGGCTGTAGGGTTGCAAAAATTTTTAAAATCTTTTTTTGGGGCTTGATGCCCTTGCCCAAACGCCCCCAAACTCCACCCCAAAAGGAAAAATACCTGAAAAGTTATTTTTTCCAAAACAAAATTTATGAAAAAAAATTCTGTAAATAAAAAGGCTGTAGGGGGAAAAAAAGGGTAAAAAACTTTTTTTTAGCATTGTGACCTTAAAACCCAACCCTTAAACCCCTAACCCATCCAAAGTAAAAAATTTAAACTTTGCAATTTATCTTCCTTTCCCAAAATAGGGGAAAAAATATCTGTCAAAATTTTTAAAAGGGGAAAAAAGTGAAAAATCTTTTTTTAGCACTTTTGACCTTGCACATTTTGACCCCTTTAACTAAATTAAAAAAGGAAAAAAATTTTCCCATGCAAGTTATCTTCCTACCCAAAAAATGTTTTCCCACCGGGGTCAATAAAAAAAAGGCCTGTAGGGGAAAAAATTTGTAAAAAATCTATTTTTAAACAATTTTGCCCTTGACCCCCCTACCCCAAAACCCCAAATTTCAAAAGGGAGGGAATTTTCCTTTTGAAAAGTATTTTTCCTACCAAATTTGAAATATTTTCTTTTAAAAAAATAAAGGCGGGTTTTAAAAAAAAAGTTGAAAAAAATCTTTTTTTAAGAAACGGGGTAAACCCTTGCCCCAATTAAACCCACTAACCCTTTTTCAAATTTTGGGTTTCCTATAAATTTATAAAGGGGACTTTCTGTCTATAGAATTTTGGTTTTTACCCCTTTTAAAAAATGTAAAAAATTTTTTTTTAAACATTGGGACCTTAAAATTTTGGGTACATTAAACCTTGACAAAAAGGGCCCCCTTTTCAAACCCCCCAAAAAAGGGGGGCCCTTCCTTTTGGCATGTTTGTTTTAAAACTTTAAAAACAAAATTTGGGAACATCAATAAAAAAAAAAAAGGGTTTGTCAGGGAGCAAAAAATTTTTAAAATTTTTTTTTCTTAAACCCGGGGGGCCCTTTGGCCTTTGGGGCCCCTAAAAAAAAAAAAAAAACCCCCATTACTCAAAAAAATTAAAGGGCCTTTAAAAAGGTTTACCCACCTCCAAATTTTGGCAAGATATCATTAAATAAAAAAAAGAATTAAGAAAAATTTTTTGTTTAAACCCAAAATTTTGCCTTTAATATTTTAAACCCCAGAAAAAAGGGACCTTTTTTCAAAGTAAAAAAAGGGAAATAAACTGGGAAAATTAGGGTTTTGAACACGGGTTATATGTTTTGGCAAAAAATCAGGGAAACTTTTTTTTGTTTAAGAAAGTGTTTAAATTATAAAAGCCAAAAAGTATAGATAGAACTTAAGTTTAATTTTCCAAACTTCCCGTTTTGGGTTTAAAAACCATTATTTTTTTTTTAAGTGCTAAAAAGGGGGAAATAACTTGGAAAATTTAGGGGAAGCCAAAGTTATTTTAAACTTGCCAGATCAGACTTTTGTAGATTGGAAGTGTGTAACTAAGAAGCCATTGGTACAGGTAGAACTCAAGAAAAATCCAACTTGCCTTTCTAGGTTAACCTCGTACGGACAGACGGACGGACGGTTCAATTACTATATGCCCGGGGGCATAAAAAATATTTATAAGTAAATAAAAAACAAATCTACATTCATGATTTAACTATCTTCATTTGGAACAAGTTTTCATCCATCATTAAATCATAAACAAATCTTAATCAATGAGTTAATCAATACTTAATCACCATCACCAATTATTTAATTATGAAAAATTTTATTCATGAATCAATCATATCATCATGATTGATTCATAAACAAATCTTCATTATCATTTGAAAATTATCCTGCTCAAATGTGTGGAAGGAGACCTTCAGTATCTACATAAAGTTGAGCATTTTCATTTAAGGCTTGTGAGATATTGAATATAAAATAAGTTCAAATCGTCTTACCATGTCAGTGAACTGGTTTACACCAAGATAGTAAGATTTTTCTCCCTTTGCATATCTGATGTTATGTTCTCTAATGTGGTTGACATTAATCTCAAAAATTTTACTTCTCATCGTCTCTTCTGCCTCATTTTCATATTTACGTTCTGAAAAAATATAATAACTTATGAAATAACAATATCGCAAAACATAATTATTGTTTTAAACTTAAAAAAATAAATGAATTTTTTCGCAATCTGCAGTTAAACATTTAAACACAGAAATAAATAAAATAATTATCTTTCTCTATATTCAGTAGATCTAAAATTGAATACTAAAAAAAAAAAACATAACGATGATTAACAAAATAAATAACCAAAGGAAAAAATCGCTGTAAAAAAACAATAGCTGTCGGAAAGATAGCTGGCTGGACTATTCTCAGTGCTTGACAGTGAATCAAGAGAAAGGATAATGCGTAATTTCAAAAACTGCCATACATGTAATTTTGTCCAAATCAATTTTACTTTTACCAATCTCGAACAGTTACCTTCTATTTATATGCTCTAAAATAAGTCTGTGTTCAACCCAATCCCTTTAAGAGGTACCAACTTTCACATCAAAACTTAACAAAAGTATGATGCCTGATACGGGGTTGAATACAACAGCTCTCCCTATTCTTTTTATAGTCAAGCAACATGTAATAATCTGCTGGTCTTGATTATATTTTTTTTTCAATAAAATCTTTGTGCATGATAACATAGTTTCAACAGTATAAAATTAATAAAATCTTACTGTGAACTTGTTTAAAAGTTGAAAACAAGTGTTCCATTGATCTACCCGCGTCTACATCGGTCTGCAGATGTCGAGCTTGAGTCAAAAGCTCCATTGACATTGCCATCGCGCACGACAGCAAAGCAGCGAAACATAACAACAACTTCATCTTTCTTCTGTTTAATATATATCTGAAATTAAGAATTATATCACAATATATATGTTTAATTTGACACACTCATCATCATATGATGGGTCATGTGACAATCTAAAAATAGACAAGAATGAGGAAGATTGGATGGCAACATTTTAATGCTTTTATCACTATTAAAGTTCTAAAGATTATCTTCAATATTCCCCTTACATGTCATTATTTTATCTTATAATATACTTTTTTCATGATTTATTGCTGACAGATTTTGTTAACATATAATGTAAAGTTGTTGAAAATGTCTCATTTCACTAGATATACAATCTAATAACATTACTTCCTAGTTTATAATTTGACATGGTTTTATCAAAAGATATACAATTTTTTTCCGCAAGATAAATTTGTGCTTTTTAGCTGTCTTAGAAAACAAACAAACGTTTTGCAAATCTTCTCTAGCATAAATACCAAAATTCATCAAAGTTCTGTATCAAAATTACAAAAGTACAAAATCCAAATATTAACATTACATACAATTTTATATAAAGCTGTATTTGTTAAAAAAAAGCAAAACAACTTGTTCTTGACAAATGTTTGTACAATTAAATAACATTTTGCTAGCAGTGCACATTATATGCTAATAATGGTTACTTAACAAACTAATATATGCTAATAATGGTTACTTAACAAACTTTATAAACATGTAAGAACAAAAATACCATAACAAATAACAGTGTTTTTGTCTTTAAAATAAAAAGACAAACACTGTATAAATAATTAGAAAAATAGACTAAATACAATTGAATATGCTCATATCAAGGCTTCTGTAAATGGAACTTTGGGAGCCATTTACTCTTCAATTTTGGCTTGTGACTTCCAAAATCTAATATTTGTTCTTCTTTACCTATATAATGTGACTTCCAAAATCAGAGATCTCTGACTTCCAAATTTTGAAACTAAATACAAGCCCTGTCATATTTACAGCAAAGAAACATAGTACATTGTATATGTAATGTATATAATAAATCAAATGTTAGGCATTACCCTGCTGGGACAGATAGTTACAGGCCTTTGCCACCAGTATCGAGGCAGGTCAATTTGCACATCATGCAGTCTGACCAGGCTCTATACTTGTTGGTTGACTTCATCTTGACATTCCTAAAACTTTATAATGGACAGTTCCAAAAATGGAAGCAGGACAAGTCCATTTAAGAAATTCAGCAGGTTTAAGAATTAAATTGATAAAATTGATAAAATTTCCTGGTCAATACATGAATGTTCAACTCTCTGACACATATTTATCTCAGTCAGTACATCATCTGATTTTTCATCACTTCCTGTCAGTAATCCACTCATGAATGTACATTGTATTATTCATGCAGTTACTTTGAAGTTTGAACTCATCTTTCCTTTGAATAGTTATTAATAATTATAAAAAGAGAACAAAGTACATACATGTAACATTTGTTACATTTCATAATGTAACATTCATTTTACCATGTCAAAGTTGTATAAAAACAAAGTCTAGATGTATCTCAGACACTATACTGATAGCTCTTAATATTTAATTTACTGCATACTGAATTTATTTTAGTTTTATTGCATTCTAAGCTATTTATAATATTATTGAAACACTATCCAATCCATTCCTGAAACCAACCAGTACTAGGCAGTGTAAGACTCACTGTGTAAAGTATCTTGCTATTAAAACAACAGCAAGTCCCTGACAGGGTTTGAACCAGATATAACAGTATAACTACTAGATGCATGGGTTACCCACACAACCATGTAGCCATTTCTCCATTTATTGATAATGAGCTAATACATGTAGCTAATATTCAAAACCCCTCACATTAATATTTTACAAAGGAATGTGAAGGATATTTAAGTCCATTTCACGAAGTCAGCAGGAAAAGGGTCAAAAAATCAGTCTAAACCAAATACTTCTCAAGTACTTTATTGTGAGCTCATTATTATATCGCAGACCTCTCCTCTTGACCTCATTAAAAAGTCTGAGAGTTAGACCGAAGTTTAACACTGTTTAATCTTAATGGAAAGAGGAACAAATTTGAACAAGTTTGTATGCTAGTTGTTCATCAATATGTTTTCAAATTACGGGAAACATGAAAAAATGTTTCTTTTTTGCTTTTGAAAGTTTATTTTGTTCTTTTTAGAGTGAAAAGTTAAATATTAAGATCTAACTTGAGATAATAAACTTTAAAGTTTCATTTCTGTAGGCAATAGCGCAACAATGTTCTATTTGTGGTATTATGTTCTTGTTAAGCTAATTTTGTTTCTCTTAATCCAATTATAATTTGACAAGTAACAAAATTATTAGTTTCTTCTAGTCACTGGACAATCTAAAGACCATATATTCCAAATTTACGTAATTTATGGAACTTAGTTTTATCTCAAACCGTGTTTAAACCTTTTTTTATTGCAAACATCATTTATTTTTCATAGTCTTAATTTTTAGTAAATTATTTAAATACTGATTAAAAACTTACTTTATTGATTTGAATTTTTCTAATCTTTCTTTTGAAACATTAAGAAATCAACTTTGAATGCAATTACTGTTTAATAAGATCACACTTTGACATTTTAAGATATATCAAAACCCTTGTCACCAGCTGCATCTCAGTGTTTCCGCTTTAAATTTGGAAAATTTCACTTTGAGGAAAACTTACAAACTCATGAATAATTCATATATCCTCTAGGCTATTAAGATAAAAGTAGGCAACAAGCATATAACAGACACAAGATCAAGCATATTTTTTACTCAACAGGATCAAAATGTTAACAAAACACCCCACATTTTTTTACCTTTAACCCATTACTTCATGAGCATTTTGTGAAAAATGGCTGTTTTCATTGAAAAGTCTCCCGTTACAAGTTCAAATTGCTATAATACTATAAAAACTGCTTCAACACTAATCAAACTTGGCACAAATGTTGACTGGACCATTGCCCTTGCAACAACATGCTCAGGCTTAAATTTTCTGTTACCATGGCAACGAGGGGACATCTCAAAATTGCCAAAAATCACTATTTTGCGTTGATTTTTTCCATCAAAATTGATTTCAAAGTGCTGCAACTTCTCAATGGATTGAGATAGAGTCAAATGCTTTTCAGCGTTGGTTACACGTTACCTTATGATCAATCTGGGGTCATTTACAGCCTCTCACAAGTCCAAAATTTTCTTGGCGATGAGGGGGACTCCGCCCCCCTTCAAACCCCCCAAACAGAAGGGGGCACATCCCCCTTCTGGCAACCCCCTGATGTATCTTTTGGTTGGGGGGCCGCGCCGAAAAAGATGTCATTTTTTTAAACAACATTTCTCAAACAAAAACAAGTGTTTGGGGCCTAAATAAGGCATTTTTTCATCATTTGAGACAATAAAAAGGGGGGGGGGGGTGAAAAAGGCGTTAAAAGGCGTGTATATGAAGTAATGGGTTAAGGAATACAAAGTGGCTTATTTATACAGTATACATATAGCCTCTGCAGCTACAAATATTTTATTTACATTTGTTTCTTTATGTCAAGATGTGACATTTTAATTTTAAATCTAATTTTTCCGGTTGCAAATGTGTTATCTTTATAACAATAAAAATAGTTAATGTCAAAATTCTTTTAGAATGGTTGGTTAAATGTTTAACATGGTTATTTAATCACTATTTAAACGGTTAACATTTTTGCTAACCGTGACACCCCTTCCCTAAATATACATTGTATGTGTATTACTTTACCACCAGAAGTTATCTTGATAAATATGAAGGTGCTTTTGAGTAATGTAACTGTTTTTCACTTCATTTTAAAACTTAACCAATCATGAGTAACAATCATTAAATTAAATAGTTTTACCATTTAAAAACAGGTAGTACATTATAATTAGACATCTTATTGGTATTCCAGTCCTGTTTTATGACTGTTAAATAAACATGATATGCTTCACTTATTCCCATGTCCTAGATTATTTTATATGCAGTATACAAAATGCTTTTGTTATATCAAATATATATAGAACTTCAAGTCACGACTTTTTTCATTATACAATTGAACAATAAGTTTGACCACATGTATAAAGCATAATATTTCATATTCCGTCTTCTACAAACTTAAAAAACAATCTCTACATGTTCCACTTTAAATGTGAATGTAATTTTTAAATTTACTAAAAATGAAATATAAAGATCTATACATGTTAAAATAAGTATTTCGCCTACAGCTTATTAAAGTTACAGTATTGAGTAAGTTTGTAACATGAAATAGTTTCCATAAATATCTTAACAATTGATTATCTAAAAACTTACTCAACAGTATCATTGAAACGATAGAATTTCTAACATGTTCCATCATCATTGCAACTAAAGTTAACGTCCACTATGCTAGACAAATTTTTTTTATATATAAAATTATTCACAACTGATTTTTGGTTGTTTTTTTTATATCTCTTTTTGTGAAAGAAAAGTATTTCAAGTACATCATCAATAAAGCCATTGTCTTATCAGTGAATAACCACTTTACAATCATGCAAACCACTTTACACATCCACGCAAACCTCTCAAATATTCAGATCCCAATTACAAATTCACGACATACAAATTTTTTCCAAACTCACCAACTTCCTTCCGACACTTGGTAATCACACACGTTATCAAAGTACCTTCACTTACGCAGCTATGAAGTTAACTGATCCCGTCTTAGTACAATGATTGCTTATATACACAATATAATGAGAACAGCAATGAACATATGACTATCACCTGACTATGTTTATACATGTGACTTAAGTACCAAACCACAAGACACTTGACATTAGTACCAAGAAGTGCCTCTCCCAAAAGTCACAATGTAACAAAATTATGTTAATCAAATTGTTATCTTTATTGTGTGATAACCTTTGTTCTATCAATTACTAGCTATTACTTGTATTAGTATTATAAAGAATGAAATTTATCATTCAGTTTAAAGTAAAAGCTAATAAAAAGCAGGTTGTCTGATTACCTTTTTTGGTACATGAACTAATAAGCAAATATATATCTTGCAAAATGGTTCTCAATATATACATATGGTATTAACATTAATCTTATCACCTAATCAACCTAAAAAAACTATGATTAATCACCCAATCTGTTGTATAAACACTAAAAGCATCAACTAATCAGTTGTTTATTGGACTGTGAAAAATGAGACACCTTATCTTGTCAACTGGTGCAAATTAAAGACATACCTGTACAATGGAAACTTCGATAAATTTACATGATTAAATAAGTTATTTTACAGAATAAGTTTATATTATGAAAATATACTAATAAATAAAATGCAAAAATACAAAATATACTGATAAAAGCCTGTTTTATTATATTTATAATCAAGGTATTAAATATGTATATACTATGTTAAACTAATCTTGCATTTCTTGGCCATTTGTTTATTGGCTGTGTAAGGAATCTAATTAAATTAAAGAATTTAAACCATGATTTTTCAGATGTGACCGTTTAATTAATTTTTTTAAAAGGTATTTCTTTTTTATTTTTGTTCATGAATTGGTCAAAATTAAATTATTATTAATGTACTGGTTGGGGACCACCAAAACCGGACAACCACCAAACCCTGACGGCCCCTAAAATGCTAAATTTGGTATTTTCTTTATTTAGTGGTTGTCAATCACTTTTTTATCAACAATAAATGCATGTTTCTTCTATAATTAAGTAAATAATTTTATTTCAACCTCCTTAAATGGTAATATTTCAATGTCTATTTCAAAAATGTTGACGTTGAAATTTGGGGGTCAAGAAAGCAATGCCTGACCTCATATATCAGCTATAATCATTTTGCGAGTAAACAGTAGAATATCCAAAACTTCAGCATTTGCTGCTGAAATATTGTTTATCATGTTGAAAATCACAAATCAAAACACCCAAGCGTTTATCTGAATTAAATCATGTCATGTACATATCTGTCCGGACACATGGTACTGTAGTGTAGACAATTTAGGCGATTTTGATACCCTCCTTGTAAGCCTCAGGTATAAATGTCAATGCAACCAGAAATAAACAAACTAGTTTGCTAGTTAGGAGAAGAACCTAGCTGAACTATGTCAAATTTTTAGGTCTCTGACTCTATGTTAAAAATTATAAAATCTGTAACGGAAAAATGTTCAAAAAAAGCCGGTTGATGGTCCCCGACCTATATTTATATGCTGACTTAAAATGTTTTATCATTCAGCAAACATTTTGTTATCAAAAGTTCTATGGGTTTCTGAGCAATGACGCTATGAAGTTGTTTTGCCAAGAAGTAAAACTATCTCAAACTTTAAAAGCAACATCATTTTATAGGACTTAGTTTACAGTATAGTTGAATCATAATTTATAAATCTATGTCACAGTTCAGAATATTTCACTATTTAGGGAAGATAGTGTGCAAGCTGGACAGCTCAGTCCATAGTCACAGTATGGTATCTAGAGGGTCCCAGGTAAGTCCTGGTCAGGCCATAGGTGTAAGGCGTGTTGATTGGTCACTATCCCCGAGCCCTACCAACTCCTGGATGGTTGTAGAGTGGGGGAGGGGGGCAGCG